CCCGCCCCGGGCCCCACGGCGCCCGCCCCGCCTCCCTCCTACGCGCCGGCACCGCTACCTGAGGAAGGAGGAGACGCTGCGCGCCAACCAGCTTCTCACAGCCGCCATCCCGAAGCGGGGCACGCCGGACGCCGACGCCGGAAGTAAGGCTGCGTGGAGGGGCGGGCGCGGGGCACGGAGGCGTGGCCGCGCTCCCTCGGCTCCGCCGGGATTGGCCGGGAGGGGAGAGAGGGGGCGGGGCTTAGGGTAACGGCCGTAACGGCCTTGCCCGGCGTCCAACCGCCGGAGCTCGCGCGCGGGGCCGGCGGGCGGACCCTGGGCGGGAGGGCTCGCACTTGGCGGAGCGAAGGTCCGGCGCCGCGAGGGGCGGGGCGGACCCTGGGCGGGAGGGCTCGCACTTGGCGGAGCGAAGGTCCGGCGCCGCGAGGGGCGAGGCGGACCCGAACCCGAGGTGGGGGGCGGGGCCGGAGGGCCCGTGCGTGCGCGTGCGTGCGGCGGGGTTGCGCGCGCGGCCGGGCGCTGTCACTTCAGCACCAGGAAGTAGGTGGTCCAGCCGGCCAGCAGCAGCGCCCCGATCAGCACCGTGTAGCTGAGCAGCACGAAGGCCAGCAGCTCCCGGAGCAACTGCAGCACGTGGAAGGCGGTCGGGGCCGGCATGGCTTGTGTGCAGGGCGGGGGACCTGTGAGGGGCGAAGAGAGAAACAGGATAGCGAGCGATGACCCCACAAACCCGCGTCTCAAAGTAGTGGACATAGTGGACACAACTCAGATGCTGCTAGGCAGATCACAGCAATAAAGCACATAGGAAACCAAGAGCACGAAGTGTTGGGTTTCCTGTTGCACAGAAAGGTTACACCATCTGTAACCTATTAGAGCTCTTGCTTGCTGAACTGCGAAATGTCCAGCAGTTGCTCCACAGGAAATGCCCTCTTGTAAGGACATACTGCCTGGGAAACCCGGTGAGAGGATGCTGTGGACGGGAAAGTGTTTTTTGGTTTTGTTTTGTTTTTTTCCTCTGCTGGCATGCCCACAGGCAGCTGGAATACACCAGCCACTCATGAGAGAAAAGATGGCAAATCTCCCAAGAGATTGATTCGGACTCAAGGGCAGTGAGTGGATGATGAAGAAAGGTACAGGGGTTAAAGTTCTTAACCACCAACAGGAAGGTTAGAAGTTCAAACCCACCAGTCCCTTTGTGGGACAAAAGAACTACTCTGCTTCCATACAGATTCCCAGCCTGGGAAACCCTCCAGGGTAGTCTTTCCCTGTCCTGTACCGGCCTGATGAGTCCAAATCCACTGACGACAATGGGTTTTGTAGTCCAACAGCAGTATGAAAAAAGTGTGAAATATTGTGAAAATGACGTGTGGTTGCAAAAATGGCTGAGAAAGAGATGTTCTTCACAAGGGCCACAAACTTTCCATTTCTTTTAAGACAAAATGTCTGCAATGTACAATATAAAGTGAAGAACAGTTCAAGATGTCTGTGAAGGCAAAAAGAAGAGTAATAGGTTCCTCATTTTAACAACTGGGGTACTCATATTTACATGGTAGAATCCTTGAAGGATAATCAACTTGCCCTCATTCTGTGATGCCAGATAGAAACGCTGGGGCTGGGCTGGCCCATCCACCAGGCCCCTTACTTCGCCCCATCTCTCTCCTCCCACCCAACTCCTGCATTTTTAATGCTGAGTGCTGCTAATGGTCTGCGGGCTCCAGGCTGGGGCGAGGATTTCCCATCAGTCACGCTGCAGCCCCCCGCATGTCGGCCCAGCCTGGGAGGGGAAGGGAAGGGACCCAGTTGGGTAGGTGGGGAGATAGCAGCCGCTCTGCAAGTCCCCAAATACCAAGTTTTAAGGGTTTTGGTTAAAAGTGCATCTTGCCCTCCAGATCAGGTAGGACACTGAGCTGCCAGGAGATGGGCGGCCATGCAAGCCGGTTCCTCCCTCCCTCCTTCACTCTGCTGCATCGGTCCCAGCCCTGCTACCTTGCCCCACAGATGCCAAGAGCCACAAACCAGCTGTGCTTAGTGGCTGCCACCAACTAGCCCTCGGGACCCGTTTACTCACTCGGGGAGGTTTCCAGGATGCCTCCACCAGCACAGCTCTTCAGCTCGGCTCCTCAGCTCCGGCTAACTCCAGCGAGCTGGTGCGGCTGTGGGGTTTAACAGGCAGACACCAAGCTCGCTGCCAGCTAGGTGTGGTCCAGAGACCAATTACATCGTCCGCGGGGTCCCCGAGCGCTTCCGGAGCCCAAGCCTGCGATCTCAGGCCAGGCGGGGCGCTGGCAAGCCGGCCTGCCCACACTGGTGCCGCCTCACAACGCACAGGCTTCCCAGTAGTCAGAGCCCCAGACTCAGGTGGGCTGAGCAAGCAGTTCACTAGGGGCTATTTCACTTAGGAGACAAGCCCCTTCTTGTCTCGCTTTGCAGAATGCTGTGAAAAGAATGTCACCAAACTGTGCCTTTCCTGACACAGCCACTCTAAGAAAGCCCCTCTAACTAGCAGCCCAAGGCCACTGAACAACGACACTCACTGTGACTGCCCACAGAAGCATGCGACACCCCCAGACTGGGCCCATAGTCTCCCTTCATGTCAAAACCCAAAACGGCCCAGGTGGCTCAACTTTGAGCAAAAGCCCGTTCAGCCTCACGGCCACGGAGCAGGCACAGACTCACAGCAGCCACGGGATTTCTGACGCTGCACATTCAACGAGAGGAAACTACCTTTCTCTTGTGATGTCGCTGGTGAACTTGAACCACCTTTGGTTAGCAGTGCAACATACTACAAAGCAAACGACCAGCAAAATGACAGACCGACGTGGTGAACACTAACATCAGGGACCAGCATACATCTCAGATCTTCGCACAAGGTCAAAGATAAAGGTCCGAAGGTAGGAAGGTGCAAAGAGGGATGAGCGGAAGAGAAAAACACAGAGAAGGCTGACTGCAGGGCTTGCAATCAACGTCGTCAAACAAAATGCTTCTGAATTATTTGCTCTGTGAACCTGCATCCAAACCCACAATCAGAAAATAAACATGCAACATACTTGTGAGATTCATGAGCACTTGATTCTAAACTACGCAGAGTTGAACGGCTCAGAGACTTACAACTCGGGCATATTTTGATCTCACCTGCATCAAACTCCAAGCTTCACCAAGCAGGAGGGCAGCTGCGATTTAGGCAAAGATGTAGCAAATGAAGGAAAGGAGGCACAAACTTTACTGTGCTTGGATGATTCTCTTTTCAGCAACAATCACAGGATGTTTTGCTGACCCTTTAAAAAAAAGCAGGCAGCGTGGACATCAACCCTTTTATCAACATCATCAACCAGAAATAAATGGCCCCTTAATTCGATCAGGCTGCCTCATTATCAAATCATTGCCTCGGCCGCAGCCCAGCTGGAAACAGGAGCAGGGCATCATCTCCGGCTGCTCAGGAAGCCTGGTCTGGTAATTGTTCATTGCAGACCCAGGGCAGAAAGAAAGGATGGCTGTGTACCCTTCATACCTTACCAAATCCAAGAGCGGAGAGGGCAGGCTACTGAAAGCGAAGTACTCATCCTGTCACCCCCAAACCTGGGGTACTGCATCACAAAGAACAGCAAAAACTTTAAGCTAAAAAACACTCCATGGCTGAAGCCATTTTAAAAGAAGAGACTCTGATAAACTGTCTACAGCTGCTTTTTCCTTACATTACTGACGGACGTAAAAGCAATTAACAGTATGTCACCTTTAAACTCTACTGTTGAGGGTTGAATGAGCCTGGGTGGTGCAGTGGATTAAACACTGGTCTGCCAACCAAAGCTGTTGATGCACAGAATCAGTGTGATGGGACTGAGGATACTGGGGGTTGGATCATGTCCCCCAAATCCATGTGGCAGTCCTTACCACATTTACCTGCAAATGTGACCTTATTTTGGAAACCACAGATGTAACCAAGATACTGGACTAGGAAGTGTCCTGAATCCAAATGCATGTGTCCTGACAGGACACACAGAGAAGGCACAAGACAGGCCCAGGGGAGCGTGGCATGCACGACGGCGAGACCCCCAGTGGAACGTGGACAGACCTCTCTCGTATTACTGTGTCACAAACATCGACGCTGCTGACAGGCTCCAGACCCGTGGCCGCCCGGGACCAGGTCAGCCTCTAGGCACCATCTTTCCAACAGCAGGTACTCATCTGGTGTCTCTGGGGGCCATCGTGATCATTCTCACAAGGCCTCAAATGTTCTCACTTTGATGCCGTTGCACATATACTATTATGGCAAGTGTCAAATGACTTTCACATGTCCTGGAAATGCATGAATCCCCGTGACAAACCTGCAGCGTCTCTGAGGTGGTGGTGTTCTGTGCTGTCAAGTTGCCTGCGACTCATAGCAACCCTACGTACAACAGCCCTAAACCCTCTCTATCCTAAGCCAGTCTTATTGTCTCTGACACACCCACCCCCATTACCCCAGTCACCAGATCAATCCATCTCATGGAGGGTTTTCCTCTCTTTCTCTGTCCTCCATCCTCCCAAGCATGACGTCCCTCTCCAAGGACTGGTCCCTCCTTGCACCCTGTCTGAAGTATGTCAGACAAAGCTTCAGAATCCTTGACTCCAAGGAGCAGCCTGGTCTCACCCTCTCTAGGATGAACCTGTTTGTTCTCCTAGCAGTCCATGGTATAGTCAATACTCCATTCCAACACCACAGCTCAAAGACATCAATTCACCTTCCATCTTTCCTAGTCACTGTCCAGCTTTGCTATGCATAACAAGTAATTGCAAAGAGATCAATCACACTATCAAAATGCATTAATAATAATGAGTGACTGGAATGCAAAAATTGGGAACAGAGAAGAGGGATCAGTAGTTGAAAAATACAGACTTGGTGACAGAAATAAAGCTGGAGATATAATTTTGCACAGTTACTTATTAATTGCAAGTATGTTTCATAAGAAACAAACACAGGTTATACACATGGATTTCACCTGATGGTATGCACAGGAATCAGATCGATTACATCTTTGGGAAGAATTGCTGGAGCAGCTCAGTATCAGCTGTGAAAACCAGGCCAGGTACTGACTGTGGAACAGACCACCAACTACTCATGGAAGTTCAAG